TATATTTAGAAATGAACATTCTAATGGGAATTGCGAAATCCATTTCCATTGGATTAGTCATCCCCCATAGTTGATGGAAATTTTCTCATTCCTATATTTGTAGGAATCAATTTTTCAAGAAAAAAAAGTTTAACAAATACTAATAAAAAATAAATATAGGATGTATACTATAAATCATGATTGAATTATGTTAACTAACATTATTTAAAAAAAAAATAAATTTCAAATGAAAATTTTAAAAAAAATATATTTTTATTTATTGTTCATATTTTAATTAGATATATCATATACTAATATAAAAATAAAACTAAAAATTGCATTTATAAATAATGTAAAAAATATATTTTATACATAATATATCTTATATTTTTATTATAATTGAATTATAATATAAAAAATTATATCTGACCACATATGCTTATAGGGATTTACCATATGATATATTGTATTAGTTAATATGCATATGAATACACAATTCACTAATTTATTATATAATCTACGTGAGTGAAAAAATACAAAAATATATTTACTATAATATAAAATATTTTTTTAAGAACAAAATAATTTTATTATTATCATGAATAAAAAAACATTAATATAAATATTTTTTTTTCTATAAAATAGTGATAATTCCACCAAGTCTTATTCCCTTCGTATATCAAACACATCAATAAAAAAAATATATATTCGTCATCTCATTCTATTTCTATTAAATTTATTTTCAATATACCAACCGTACCATTATATCTTGGGCTAAGAATGATGTGAATCCAATTTCCATCGTAGGACCAGTACAACTTTTTTCTCTCTCTAAACCCGATCCCTAATTTCTCTCCTCTGTAGCTAGCCCTAATCTGCAAGTTTGCCTTCTCTTTCGTCCGCTGCTCTTCCTCTCCGCCGAGAAGACGACTCGCGTCGGTGTGGCCAAGGATCGTATGACCCGCTCTCAGGCCCTTCTGCCAAGGATCGTATGACCCGCTCTCGGTGTTTGCAGGGGTTCGAGGGGCGGTGAAGATGGCTGTTGCTACAGTTCTTGTCTGCTGCGCTGGTGGTGGTCGGGTCCGAGGCATGCGACGGGTGCTCCCCTGGATCCGAGTCGTCTCTGGTGCTGAGAACGGGTCTGACGGTGGTGGTTGCGGGTTCCTTTGGTGGTACCGAAAACCGCGGTCGGTTTGGTGCGGGGGCGTCATGGTTGGCTGATCTCCCAGAGCGGCTCAAGGGTGGTGCCTCTGGACAGGGTCTTTGGTTGGTCAGCCCTGCTCTAACCAGTTGTTTGTTGGTTTGGTTAGAGCTCGTGCTCGGGCGATTGGCCGAGTTCTTCGTTTGGGGCCTCTCGGAATGCCGTCCCGTTGGAGGTGTTAGAAGAGTTTTCGGTCGTTCTTGGCTTTGTTTTTGTTTTGTGTGTTGGTATTTTGTTCGTTTGTGTTCGGATCTCCCTTTTGGGAGTTTTGTTTCTCCTCTTGTAGGAGTCGGGTTCTCCTCTAGTAGGAGTTTCGTTTTATTATCGGTGTTATTGTGGGTGTGTTGTGGCATTTAGGTTCTTTTGAGATGTCCTCTCATCTCGACCATTTGACTGTCGGTTTCGACTGCTTTGGCCGTTCTTTGTGTTGTAATTATATGTTATTAATGAAAGTCTATTGTTTGGAAAAAAAAAAAAACCATCGTAGGTGTTTCTATGCAAAACGAGTCGCCATATGGCATCAATGTATATAATGTAGAATATTTTATGTATAATATATACGACATTTGTTAGACTTGAGAAACTTGACGTGTATGAGACTTGATAGATTCTATTTGTTAAAAGAGTGAACTTTTTTTTTTTTACACATTTTACTTTGATTTGATAAATTATTAAGGGGTGATTGTTTAGAGCATGTTTGTTTACAAGAATTTAAAAAAAAATCCAACATTTTAACTCAACCATTTTTTTTAACTCAACTTTAATTCAACCTCACTATCATCAATATTATCAATAAAATTAAATAATATCAATCAATCATTCATACACACCACATCAACCTTAATTTACTATTCATCCACTCACATTATTTTAACTAACTGTCACTTCAATCATCTCTCTCTCCTACTTTTATATCAAATCAATTTTAATTATTTTATATTAAATATTATTTTAATATACCACTAACAACTATTCATACCACTTTTTCAAAATTAACCAAACCAAACAAAAAAATCCAAACAAACCCAAAATTTTTCATAAACAAACATGCTCTTATGAATTTATCTAGTTTTTAACTAGTTATTTTTGTAACCATAGTTACTTTTAAAAAAAGTTGGTATGGTTAGTTGTTAGTGGTTATATTAAAATAATATTTTAAATAAAATAATTAGAGTTGATATGATGTAAAAGTAAGAGAAAATGATTTGAGGTGATAGTTAGTTAAAATTATGTGAGTAGATGAATAGTGAATTAAAGTTGATGTGATGTATAAGAATGATTGGTTGAATGATTGGTTGATATTATTTAATTATATTGATAATATTGGAGATAGTTTGTTTGAATTAAAGTTGAGTTAAATTTGAGTTTTGATTGGTTTTTTTTTTAGGTGGATTGATAAACAATCACACCCTAATTATCTAGCAATTATATTTTTGTAGCTCACGACATGTATTTTTTTTTTTTTCACTTTTTTCTTTAATTTCTTCATACCACTAACCAATAACCGAACTAATCCAATCGATTGATTTTCGGTTCAAATCGAATCGAAACTGAAATTTCGACCATTTCGATTAAGTTTAAAAGGTGATTCTAGAGGTGACAGCCAACGGGATGTGACCCGGCCCGACCCGGCCTTCAATGCGTGACCCTTAACTGGCTCGCCAAAATCCAAGGGTCGGCCCGTGGACTCGGCTCTATCCCAATCCGGTACCAGACCGCCGGGACAAAAAAAAAATGGAGGACCCGGACTCGACCCGCAAAACCACAGTGCCGGTTCTCAGAACCGACAACCTACGAGCCTGTTGAGGGCCGGATCGACCCATGGTCATGTCTAAGTGATTCAGAGTATTTCATAGTTCATAAACTTGGTTATGATGCACAATTTTCTAAAACATTTTAGACAAATAACTAATTTTATAAATTACGCCTTAAATAAACTTGGTTATGGCCGGGTCGATCCATGGACTCGGCCCGTAAAGCCACAGTGCCGGTTCTCAGAACCGACAACCTACGAGCCTGTTGAGGGCCGGGTCGACCCATGGTCATGTCTAGGTGATTCAGAGTATTTCATAGTTCATAAACTTGGTTATGATGCACAATTTTCTAAAACATTTTAGACAAATAACTAATTTTATAAATTACGCCTTAGATAAATTGGCGGGTCCGGACTTCAACCAAAGCCGGTCCATCCCGGTTCTTTATTTCTTTTCTCGGCTTGTCTTGTTCTACCATCAACATACTACACACACTGCTCAAAGTTTCTCCAGTTTTTCCGATCTCCACCTACAAGATCGAGATTACACTCCTTCCATTGAATATGCTCTAATTCCTGATTGATTTGGTTGTGAAATATTCTGTTTATTTGGCATGCTCTATCTGTAGGACGCCACACCCCCGCGCAGATCTTGAAAAAAAGCGATGGATTCGCCGCCTTCCCAATCGCCGGGAAGGTCACCGGAATCTCCGATCGGAAATTCCAAGAGGCCGTATGGTTACAATAAGACATCATCATTGTCCAAATCAACCTCAGATGCCAGCAGCCAGAGCTTCTCCTCCATCCTCAACAACCCTAACCCTTCGTCCTCCGTCGTCGGTTGGTGGTCCTCTTCCGCGGCCGTTCCGGTACCCGAATTCGCTCCCCTGCCGCCGCCGCCTAAACCCGGATCTGAAATTACCCGATCCGATTTCGTGCCGTACGTATCCTCTGTCTCGGAATCTCACTCCCGCTTCGTGGACATCCTCAGGCAGCACGATAGGGACCACCAGGGGCAGGACGGTCCTTTCACCGGGGGATCCGCCGGGGAGGCGTTGGTGGCGTGCTTGAGGGAGGTCCCCGCGCTGTACTTCAAGGAGGATTTCCAGTTGGAGGACGGTGCCACGTTCCGAGCGGCTTGTCCCTTCCGGACAATGTCAGAAAATGTTGCATTGCAGGAGAGATTGTCGCAGTATTTGGATGTAGTGGAGTTGCATTTGGTCAGGGAAATTTCACTAAGGTCGAGCTCATTTTTTGAGGCACAGGTGCAGTTGGAGGATTTAAGCGCTAAAATTGTCCAAGGATGCGGGAGGGTTAGGGAGCTGAAGGAGACAATCAGGCTTCTAGACTCGGATTTGGTGGGTTCTGCTAGGAAGGTGCAGGAGCTAAGCATGAAGCGCGGGGACCTGTTTGGATTGCAGAACAAGTTACGGCTAGTGCTGTCTGTCAATCAGGCGGTCTCCACTCTTCAGTTAGTAAGTCTGTTCTAAGCTTATGGATGATAGTATTTCAATACCTGCTGGATGTCAAAAAGAACAGATGTTTAGATTTGAGATGGAGTATACAACAGATGATTGAGTATGGCTTTCAGTCAATCACATTATGAAAAATTGATGATTTGTGCATGTCACTCGGATCATGATTTTTGCAGATTCTTTACCTGAAATGCAGCTTTTAAAATGTAAACTTAATCTAAGGATTAAGTGTTATGAAATCATGACGTACCTAAAGCATGTGGACTATTGCATTGAAGTCTTAACTTTGGGTCAAATAGGACACGTTGCGCAAGTTGCAGTCTATGTTGCAGTACCTTTTTGTAATTTGTACATTGTTGTTCTGTTGACTGTTAATTGGTTGATTTTGTTATTTGCTCGTGTTTACTTTCCATGTATATGTGACACTTATAAAGAATTGCTGCTGAATGAGCCTTTTCAATCCCGTGCAATTGCCAATTGAAGCCCAGTTGTCTAATATGTGAAGAATGCAAAGATGAAAAGCTTAATGTTCAACAAGGAAGTGGGGGTTATAAGATATCCACTAGTTTGAATTATAGCTTTGTGATTTCACAAGTCTCTGTTGATTTACCATTTTGAGGGTGTATAAATTGCAGCTTGTTGCATCTGCGGATTGTCTTGGAGCTCTAGACATTATTGATGACCTGCAGCATATAATGGTACGTCCATAGCTAATGCTTCACCTGTACATATGGTCCTTGACATTTAGTTCATGCTTCTTATCATTCTCCTAATATTCCCTTTTTAGCAGGATTTAGAAACTGTTCTATATTCTTTTCTATCACAAACTATTGACGTGCATATTTTTGTTCTGTAGTATCCTAATGGAGATGTCATATCAAAGCTCTATTAGTGAACACTACGTACATTTTGACCAATGCATACGGTTTTTCTTTTTATAAAAATGATTGCAGTCTCAGTAAGAAATCAATCAAATTAAAATTTGACTGCAATTTTCTTCTTTGGCCTTAATTATGTTATGTTTGCTAGGGTTAGGGTGCCTTTTTTGAAACATTCTTGAACATTTGCTTGTTTATTTTAACATTAAATTTTATAATAGTGGAGGCTGAATTTCTCCTTACCTAATCTGATTTTTTCTTTCTCCACAAATGATGCATCTGTTTAATAGAATGGCGATGAACTGATTGGCTTACATTGTTTTCGTCATCTCCGGGATCATGTAACATCCTCAGTAGAGTCTATCAACAGGTTAGCCCCAATTAGCTGTTATACTGTTGTTGTTTTATATGTTGTTGATGCTTAAATAACTTTATTGCTCTGTTTGAATGAAGTGTAAATTTCAACATCATTTCTTTAGCATGCTATTTTGACTTATCATATTCATTCTTGTAGCATTCTTTCAGCAGAATTTATTCGTGCATCGTTGCGTGATGCTGGAAATATGGATACATCAGTTGCAGGGCTTACCTTAACCTCAAATGGAAGATATGATGAAGTATGCCTAATATTCTAATTTTGTTAATTTGTATTTGTTATTTATATCATATTATAATTTTGGTGACTCTCTATGTTCTGAGCATTTTCCTGGGTCTTTTTTCTCATTAATTTGTGGTCCTAAATATATACTTGGTTGTTTCGTAATCTTTTGTGATTTATTTATTTATTTATTTCTGTTGAGCACTGGTATTTAAATATTACAGGTTAGACTGGAAGAAGAGAGAACGTCCAATTTTCAAGATCAACTTCTCCCTCTCATCATTGGATTGCTTAGAACTGTGAGTCAATGTGCTCCTCATTTGTTGGATTGATCAATCTCTTTTTCTCTGAGATATCTAAACCCATGGTGTCTTACGTGCATTCATCCTTTTTACTTGCCTTATTTTTCTCACACACAACTAATGGTATATGAAAGATGACTCTAGAGTTTAAGGTATTAAACAATGTGGAGACTGCTGTAGAGCTCTTTGTGTTCAGCATTCATGCATTTGGCTGTCGAAAGTGGCAAGAGCAGTCAAAACTAATAGGCAAATAACTTTGTCTTGTTTGTTCGTCAAATCTGTAGTTTTTTAGATTTTGTATCAGTAGAGGCTCGTATACATCTACAATTCCAATTTTTTTTGTTGTGGAAGTGTGTGTTAAAGTAGTCATCCTACCCAGACTGGCAGGCATTACCTTTACTTTCAATATGTGCATGACGATTTGTGTGATCCTAAATTATTGATCAATACAACAACAACAACAACAAAGCCTTTTAGTCCCAAACAAGTTGGGGTAGGCTAGAGATGAAACCCAAGAGAAACAATGGTAAGAGAAACACAAAAAAAAGGGCTCAAAACAAAACAAAAAACAAAACTCAAAACAAAAACAATCTAGGTATTTTATATTTTAGCTTCAGTTTGTGTAACTGGTTTTATCCATTGTATTTTCTGTTGATAACTACCCATCCCCCTCAGTCATTGCTGCTATTTTCCTCTGTAATATTAATTATTATTATATCCAGGTTATCATTAACTGAACTTTTGTTTTCAGGGAAAATTACCAGCTGTATTGAGATTATACCGTGATACACTTGCATCTGATATAAAGACATCTGTCAAGGTGACGGTTTTGAATATGCCACTCGATTCGGATTCTATATCTGGAGAGGGGATTGCAGATACTGATGGTTGGTATACATGCATGTGAACATTTGATTTATTTGGATCAAGAGATTTTGTATTCATATGACATTTGCAAACATATATATAATTTTTTTTTTCTTTTTCCCTCTTCTTTTGGTTATCAAATGCCATCTAGTTTATGTAAGTGTGTAAATTTCCTGGTTGCATTATGCTGACACAGGTGGAGGCTCATCACTAGGAAGCAAGTTGAAAAGTCTTTCACCTGATAGCTTTTTGAAACTTTTGGAAGAAATATTCAAGATAGTGCAGGTAATGTATGCTTTTTTATCACCCCATCAAGAGTTTACACTTATACTTGCAGAAGCAGTAACTTAGTGAAATTCCTTCGGGATATATCAATCTTCGTAAATTTCTCACCAGTCTAAATTTAGATATAATATCTTTTAACTGGGCCTGATTTAGTAGGTTTCTTTTCAACTGTCAAAATTTGGCAACCATATTACTTGATGAATATGTTGATATGGTTTGTTATATCTACATATTTATATCCTTTTTGGTATGTTTTCTTTAATTCCATTTTGTACTGTCACCGGAAGTTATTTGTCTCAGCCACTCCATGGCTTCCTAATGGCACCTAATGTAACTGACTGCATGTAAATGTGGTCTGGACTTCTTATTCCATCTATGGTCCCAGTTTGCTCATTTATCTTAATGCTGCCATGGCATAACTTGATTCGTTTCTTTTAGTGAATGCAGGCACGCTTACTGCGGGCTTCTGAAGTTAAACGAGCAATTGAGTGGATCATGGGCAATCTCAATGGTCACTATGCTGCTGCTTCTGTTGCTGCTGCCATTGCACATGGAGCAGCAGCTCCTGAAACAGCTCAGGAGGCTGATGGTCATGCCAGTTCCTTTTCACCAGAATCTTCCCAAAATGCTACTCGAGTGACTTCTATCCAGGGAAGAGGATATGACACTGCAACCACAAATCTTTCAAGAAATTTCCGGTGAAATGCTCTTTCTTTTCTTCTTCGCATGTTAAACAGCTTGAATCTGTGTAGTTTGTTTGGAAGTGTCATAATATATTGTGGATAGATACATAGTTATTTGGAAACTTGTATCCTCTCTTTCTCCAGCATCTTATGAATTCAGGTTAGCATAGAGCAGAACTGACGTTACTCTGTAGCTAGGTGTCAACTTGGACTCGGACAGGAACAGTTTTTGGGTCTGAAGGATGATGAAAAACTGGGGTTTAGAGAAATAGAACGGGTGTGGTAATCGAGGCAGCACTAGCTGAGATTATTTGGAGGTGGCTAGATTTGAGCCATTCATTAGGAGCAGCTGATTCAGCAATGAAATTAAGCTACTTGGAGATTATACATGATAAATGTTTCAGCCACTTCTTTATCTGTCATGCCAATCTCTTCCCACTATGTAACAACCATGACAGAGTTGGATTTAGTTAATAACTTTGTGGGGTCAAGTAGTATTATAAGGACATGAGAACCTGCCCTTTCACTGATTACTGACATGATGGGCATTCTATCACATGAATGCTCCTTGAGAACCGTTTATATTCTAGAAGTTGATTTTCTGATATCTGATTATTTTGATTTACAAATCTAGTTAAAATTGTTCTGGAGACTTTCTAATTAGAGCATATGATCTGCGCAGAGCCGATATATTAAGAGAGAATGCTGAAGCTCTTTTTGCAGCATGTGATGCTGCTCATGGAAGGTGGGCAAAAATTGTTGGAATCCGTTCTCAAATTCACCCTAAACTGAAGTTGCAGGAATTTCTAGGTGTTTATACCATTAGCCAGGAATTTATTAGTTCAACTGAGAAGGTATGTTCTACCTCTCATCGTATGATGCATTTTATAGGGCCTCTGCTTATTGTAGTTATAATATTATACTCAATGTTATACTTATCCTGACAAACAGATAGGAGGAAGATTGGGATACAGCATTCGTGGAACATTACAATCACAAGCTAAATCCTTCATTGAATTCCAGCATGAATCTCGAGTTAGTATCCATAGACCATATTTTTTACTGGCTCTCATTATTCACTGGTTAACTTGGTACTGGTTGCTACAGATGGCTAAGATGCGTGCTCTACTTGACCAAGAAAATTGGGCTGAAATAGATGTACCAGATGAGTTTCAAGCTATCGTCAATTCACTGTGTTCTTCAGGTTCTGTGGCTGCTGGGGAGAGGAATTCAGTTTCCGAGGACACTGCATCAACTTCTGATGTAGGACCAAGCAGCGATGGTTCCTCCATGTTAGATGCTGTTCCATCAAATCAGTCTCAGAATGTTGAACAGTCTGATTCTAACGGGAATACTGATTATATACCGAACTCTGAATCATCACGTGTTGGAGCTGCAGCTGATAGTGGCAGTTCTGATGTTAGTACGTCCTCTCATGGAAACAATGCCAGTGTAAAAGACCGTGGAAAGTCTGGACTCCGGATGCTTTATTTTAGAGGAATTGGATATCACATGGTAAACTGGTATGCTCCCACGGATACTTAAATTTTGCCTTCAGTTTCTTTTTATTTTGATGTGAATGAAGTCTGGGAGTTGATTGATGATGCAGCAATCTTGGATTTAGCTCAAGCAGCTTTTTGGAAAATCACTTGATTCTCTATTTAAAGTTTTGAACAGTTTGCAAGAAGCACATATTTAATTTCTGTTTCATTATTATTCATTCCATGCTTGTGTAGTTTGTATAAAGAAATATGTTGATCACTTAACTTCTTGATGCCAATTATACCTTGGTGAACAGATTTTTTATTTATTTTCTTTGTTGCAGTGGCTTATATTTGGTGAAAATGTTGTCGGAGTACATAGATATGAGCAATTTTTTGCCAACACTATCTGCGGAAGTGGTTCATCGTGTTGCCGAGATCTTGAAACTATTTAATTCAAGGACTGCGCATCTTGTCCTTGGAGCTAATGCCTTACAGGTGCTACTTTGTTCTTTGAAGTATGTAACTTTTAAGCCATGGTTTCTTAAGTAGGTCCGGTTGCAACAACATTTCGTTACTTGCAAATTGTGTAAACTTCAGTGTCAATTTTTGGAAAATGAGAGACCATAAAAGTTGAAGTGTCATTTGCCCTGTCAACTAAGTTGAGAGACTGGTTACAATTTAAAATGAAGTAATATTAATTTCTGCAACCAACCTTCAAGTTGTGAGATAAAACTAATTGTGTGTGGTAAAATATATGCGTGACTGGTTTTGAACTGCTGTGATGATTTAGTTATTTTTCGCTGGACTACACTTGTTTTTATTGTTGAATTTGCTATCTGTTTATCTCGTTGGAATTTTGTTAACCCTGATTGATTACAGGTGTCTGGTTTGAGATCAATCACTGCTAGACACTTGGCCATGGCGAGCCAGGTGATAAGTTTCACCTTTGCAGTCATACCTGGTAAGTGGTTGTAAATTACTGTATTTGAAACCGCATGCATTTGCAAGTTTAAGTGGGTTTCGATGTAACCATCATTTTTGTCAAAAGCAAGATGGGCCAATTATTTGCTACAATTGTGCCAATGAAAATCCTAAGTGGGCGTCTGTTTATAAAAATATCCATAATCATACTCAATCGATACTCAAAATCTAACTCAGCTTTAACTCAACCTCACTATACTCAATATTATCAATATGAATAAATAATATCCATCCACATAATTTTAACTAACTATCACTTGACATCATCTCTCTCCTACTTTTACATCAAATCAACTATAATTATTTTATTTTAAATATTATTTTAATATAAATTCAAAATATCACTAACAACTAGCCATACCACATTTTTCCAAATCAACCCTGATTAACCAAAAAAAAAAAAAGAAAAAAATCTGTTTCGAGCAGATATATTTGTATCCAAGCAAGCCCTAAGAGGTGTCAACTGAAACTACTTTACAACTCGTTGCTAGTTCTTTATTTATTTTATGGCCTCGGTGTCTCTCTTTCTGTATATGCAACTTTCATTTGCTATTTTTGTTATGGTCTGAAGCTTAAATTGTCCTAGACATCTTCAGAACCTTAATATGCATTCTAACTTTTTTTTTTAGAGTTCAGATTGCATTTATTTACTTATTTTATACGTCCTTTTCTTATTTTTGTTTAAAGTCATTGAAGGTCATTCTGTTGACTTATTATTTGTAATGGCTGTATCAAGAAATTAGGAGAATTCTCTTGTTTAAAGTTCCGGAGACCTATAAACCACTTTTGCAGTCAGAGATCGATCGAGTAGCAACTGTAAGCAATTTTTAGTTCGACTGAAAATTTATTGTTTCATGGAAATAATTATAATAGTTATATTCTTTTCGTGACTTAAGGATTACAAAAATCACCGGGATGAGATTCATTCCAAGCTGGTTCAGATAATGAGAGAACGATTATTGGTTCATCTGAGAAGCTTGCCACAAATTGTTGAGGGTTGGAATAGGTCAGAGGATAATGATTTACAGCCTAGTCAGTTTGCTCGGTCACTTACCAAGGTACATATCCATTGTCATTTGATCATATTCAGAATTGTGTTTTCTGAAATAAAA